CCTTTGGGAGGCTGGAGTTAAATCTTTTAAGTACCACTTCAAACGTGTCGTAGGTAATGCAAAATTGACATTTGAACAATTTTTAACAATTATGATTCAGATTGAAGGAATTTTAAATTCCCGACCATTGACACCCTTGTCTTCGGACATTGATGATTTAGAGGTTCTAACACCTGGGCATTTTTTAATTGGTAGAGCAATTAATTCGATCCCTGAGCCAGATATCACGGAAGTTAACATTAACAGGTTAAAATTGTGGCAACAGATCACAAAATTAGTACAAATTATCTGGAAAAAATGGAACTCCAATTATTTAAGTCATTTACAAAATCGATCTAAATGGCAAAGTTCTAAAAACAATATACAAGTTGGAGACATGGTCTTAATTAAAGATAATTTGCCTTGTTGTAATTGGGCGGTTGGTCGTATAATAGAAGTATTTTATGGTAAAGATGGAAAGGTTCGCGTGTGTAATGTAAAAACTCAAACTGGAACTTTCAAACGACCAATTACCAAATTATGTGTCTTACCAATACAAAAATGAGTATTGTCTTTATAGTTATTGTACAGTATTGAATGTGTTTCACATAAAATGTCATTATGTAACTGAAATGTTATATTGTATTGCTTTGAGTTGTACGCTAATGTATATGGTAAATGTCTAATTATAAAAATGATTTTTATGTAATAGTACTTATTCAAAATTGTTTATGATATACTTGTTTAATTTTTATGCTATATCTTAATTACAATAGTTGAATGCTAAGCATTGCAACGCGGGGCGGCATGTTCGCGCCTGCGCATCTGTAATGTAATCCACGCATGCGCATCTGTAATGTGATGATCAGACGAGTTTGAGAATCGCCATCGACGGTATAAGAGGGCTGGTCACAGCTATGAGTTAATTGTAATTAATTATGAGAATTAATAAAGAATCGAACCAGCGAATTTATTTAGTGTGTGTTATTTGGGACGAGACCCAATCAATAGTTTCAGTCCTCTTGCGCAGATTCCAAATCCATTAAATTTTCTTTATTAAATACAATTATAATTCTTTCTTTTTAGAGAAATCGCATTGAAAAAAACTGTAAACATCAAATCGACTGCGATTACGAATGCTTTAAAATAGTTAACATTTTGAGTGGGAAAGCTTTTTTAATACGTTCATAAGCAACTGAAAATTAGGGAAAGAAAAAAATTTTAAATTGGCATAAAACTTTGTCGATTTCTACAATAATCTATATAAATGCGTTTTCAAAAACTTCTGCTGAAATATGAAGAGTCGTATTTGTAAAGCATTTATTAGTGAGATTTGTAATTATATACTCAGCTTTTAGTTTTCATAACCTTCCATTCATCAGAATTTAGTCATTAAGCGTAAGGGGGGGGGACGAAAAAGGAATTTTAAAGAAAAGATTATTTTTACAAAATGACTCAAAATTTCCTGAGCTAGTATAAGTAATTATGTAACTCAAGTAATTAAATATTTGCAAAAATTTTGTTGACCTCTCTCAGTCTTGCCAATATTTCGGTATAGATATAGAACATAATTAAATGTCGATAATGAGTATCATAGATAGTGGAGCATATAGAATGAGCATCACAATATATAATTATGTTTGTCGCAAAAGCAGCCATTTTGATAAATGAACAGAACTGTCGGGAATCGCGTATGAATGTCACATCCATGCTTTATAACACCAAGAATGTTATAAAAATGACGGTTATCTGATATCAACATTTACCGAACTTTCCAAAATGTTTAAAAATGTAATATTTAAGAGTCGGCAAATTTGTTTAAAAAATTGTATGCATTTCAATGACGGTGTTTGTCGCTATAATCAGAAGCTCGTCATCGATATTTAGACTATTTCTCGATAAGCTACCGAGTTCAAATTTTGTACTCACACCGTTTACGGATGGAAATGCGGCGTGGTAAACAGAGTTTTATAAAATTCGATTTAGAGGTCTTAAAATTGAATGTTAAAAAAATTTTTTGGGCATATTTCCATTTAAAGAATAAACTAAAAATCTCACAGATTTTAAGTTTGCATCATTTTACAGAGCGTAAAATAGCTTTTGAAATAAAATTTGCATAAAATTAATATAATTTCTGATTTTGGGAGAATTTTTAAAACTTTATACTTTTATGAGGTAAGAGGAATTTTGGAAGTAAAAGACTGAACCAAAAGGAGAAAAATAATTTGTCATACAGATAATGGGAATAAGACCGTGAAATAAGTAAGTTTGGAAAAATTCTTGTACAGTTTTATAACAAGAATAATAGATTCTTAAATAACGAAATCAAATAATCGAATCGCATTGTCAAAAGTATAAGATTTATGAATTTATCAAGACATTCGTACTTTTTTATTATTCGTGATATAAATTTGTAGAAAAAATTTTTAGAGAATTATTTAATCATGTGTGTTCCCAGTAAATTATATAATACATTATTTTTCTCATTTTAATTCATTAATAATTTTGAGTCATAAACAAAAGTTTATTTTGTAAAAACTCGTTTATTTTATTCAATTAACTGTTCTAAAACGGAAATTCTTAATTTCTGTTATATATACATTCATTTTGTAACTGGTAATAAATTGTTTCCTTAAGAGTCAGTGTAAGGCCTTTATCTCAAAACATCGAGAAGACTTCTCCGCGCGCTAATGACAGCCATTACCCATTGTCGTCAGGAGTTGCGTGGACCCTTGTCCCCTTAGGCAATGGGGATTGGAAGACGTACAAAAATCCGGGCTAGTCGTTTTTGGCGTATTTTTTCGCTATTACAAAAACACGGGACGATCCGTTTTCGAGGGTACATTTAAACTAACAATAATTCGTAATGAACCGTTAAGAGACCTGCATAAAAGAATGAGAAAATACGTGTCAAACCGTTGAAGGGTTAAGCTGCGCTTCAAGAGTTCAAAAATAGTAGTAGCGGACTAAGTTCCGATGTCTATGCTGCGAGTTTAATATTAGCTCTCTAGTTTGGTGTTCGACATCTTTCAAGCTTGTGCTAATACTTTTCGGCTCTGTTTTGCTGTGTGCAGTCGATTTAGCGTTAGTTTAAGCTAAGGAGCCGGCCATTAGACTTTCTTAATTTACTAGTGATTTGTTACATTCTTATTTTTCTGTTACGTACCACAAGTGGTGGTGATTTGTGAGCATGAATTGCGTGCATCTGTTTTAATTTAGTTTTAACTAAAAAAGGTTATTTAAACCTTTCTTCTGCAGCATTTATTCTTAAAGACATAGCGAGAATTCGCTACTTCTTTTTCAACGTAGAGTTCAGGGTGTATACTACCAAAGAATACACACAGACTCCATAAAGTGTGCTATGCTTACGGCAAAACTCCTTGACTCACGCAACACTATCGTACAAGAATTATAAAGGGATCACGATTTTAAAAAGTTTTATTCTTATTTGAAGGATGGATCAGTTTGAGCACCCGGAAATTTAAGGCCATCAGAAATAGAGCCGAAAACTATGAACTTAACAATAACTTTTTATTTTATTCGAAAACAATAGATCAAAATTACCAGCTTAGACTGGTTATTCCGAAGAGCTTAAGATTAAATATTCAAAGTGAATTACACGATTCGCCCATTTCTGGCCACCTAAAATAAGGAAAACAGTACAGCGAGTTCGCGAGGCAGTATAATTTTTGCAATTGCAAAAATTTGTAAGTGCATATGTCAGGTCGTGCCAAGCTTATCAGCTAAATAACGATGTTAATTACAGCTCGGCTGGGTACTTAAATAGAATAAAGGCAAAGTTTCCAAACGCATTAGTTAGAATAGATTAAGTCCGTGTAAACGTAGAAAGCTCCGTGTAAACGTAGTGAAGTCAACAAAAATATATATTTACTCGTTATTGTAGACAATTTCTCTAAGTGGACAGAAATATTCTTCTTAAGAAGAGGCTCTCATAAAACAGCTGAAGATACTTTCTTAAATATATACATTTTAAAATACGGAGCTCCGTTAAAAGTAATATCCAATAACGGAAGACAGTTTATTAGGTAAATATTTGAGCAATTATGCGCAGGACTTGGCATGCGACATCTAAAAATAGTGCGAGAAACTTTCGCAGAACTTTTCTTAGGCCGAAAACTAATTACGCCACAGGATAAATTATTTTTTGTGCAGAAAAGAACGCCAGAGTTCAAAATGGCAGATATACAGGAAATTATAAATGAAGCAGTGAAAAATTCAGATATGGCAAGGGAAAAACAGTAGCTGTTCAGTGGGAAACCAAGTGCTCAAGGCGAAGTATTTTTGGGGGAAGACAGGGTAGCTTTTTTCCACGATCTCAAGCACATAAATAATTGAAAGAATTTGAAAAACTGTAATTTACCCAAAAGATAGAAATGGAGAACAGATAGTGACAAACGTAAACCAGATCAAGCCGTACTATGATAGAAACGAGCTGGAAACATTCGAAAATGTTTTACCCGAAACAAGGGAAAGCTGAGACAGCAAGAAACAGTGGTAGAGCATAATTAACTTCGAGAAGTGATTAGAATGTAAAAGGGAAAAGATATGTGGAAATTTAATTTCTCCTTACTAAGATTCAGTTTTATTTTATGTCTAAAAATATAAGAGCTGCTAGTATATTTTTGAATTTTGGTTCAAGTGAGGTTATTTCCGTTGTTTAAGTAACAGAAAACTTCGAAGTAAATTGCAATTACTCATACTCGTTTTAATTTAGTTTAAAAACAGGAACTTTATTTTAGTCTGAGAGATTGATGTGAGGAAATGTTAACGAAAAGGTAAAGAGGATCTAAGTAATGCGCGTGTCTTGATATAAAGTGCAAGTTGAATTTTCCTTAATGTGTTGTAAATGTTTCATTTAATTTAGTATATCTAATATTTTGTATTGTAAACGTTAAAGCTACTATTAAATATACGTGCAAATTGTCGTTTAAGAATCCGAAATTAGTTCATGGAACAAATATTGTTGCATAAAAATTCAATAATTTAGATAACTATTTTACTCTTGTTATCGAATATGCTTGTCACTTCATAACCAACCAAGGAACCAAGAGCTCCAAAATTCAGGTAACTGAAATAAATGAATACAATAATGTCAATAATATTAGAAATAAAATCACATCATAAATAAGACAATTTTAGCCGAATTAATGATTAGTGCAGTATGTGGGACATATTAACAACTTACTTCGATCGATCTTTGTCAAAATATGGAGGTTGTAAAACTAGAGCAGTAAAATCTAGAAAAAAAGTGTTATGTTGAAAAATATAGTTACAATAAAAAATAAAATTTGATTTAAATAAAAATAAGTTTCCTGTTTTGCGTTTCAAAATATTAATATATAAGTTAAAAATTAGATCAGTAGGTCTAAAATCATTCAACTCTTGGTTTTTGAGAACGAGCATGCATTCTACAAATATATATATATATATATATATATATTGACACACAGAGAAAAAATATAATCCAATTGTGCGAAATTTATAAGCTCTTCTTTCGACTAAAGAAAACTTAGCAAAATATTAAACTTAACGCTCATTTAATCAGTAACCGTCATTTCAGTATATCAAAACGGAACAATGTACAATGCTTTCAAAAATTAAGGATAAGGTGGAGAAATTTGCATTAAAGCAAAACAAGGCCCCAGAACGGGCTGAAAGACCACCCAGGGGCGAAACGTGGGACCAGTACAATACAGCATGACTTAGGAGGAGGAATGTTGGAAGGGGTGTGTTGTAGAGGCGATGTACAAAGTTATTTCATGGTTTACAGTGATTTCAGCAACGTCAAGTTGTTACCTTGTGATACGGCCCATAGACAATCAAAGAGATATAGTCAACGATAATTTATCGGAGATCACGTGATTGGGAAGCTCGAAGAAAGTCGAAGTGCGACAAGAGTAGCGAAGGAGTTCCGGACCGCTCCCAGCATCTTTTCACGAACAATTCAAACGGCTGAACAGCTGTTCTAGCGTTTAGCTGTGATCGTATTCTAGAGGTCCGCGGTTCGATTCCCGGGGAAGGCGTTGCTAATTTTTCATCTTGCCTGATTCAAAAAAAAAAAAAAATTGCCTAATGTTTCTGCAACTATTAAACTCAAAAATCTCGTGAAGAAAAAGAACAATTGATAGAAATTTTCTGTGATTGTACTCTAACTGGACTTCAAAAATAACACACTTGTAAATTTTAGGCTGAAGTGAAAAAAAAAAAAAAAAAAAAAAAAAAAAAAGAATTTAAAGGCATTTCAAATAAAGCTATTAAATTTTTATTCCCTTTTTACACAGCTGTCTGAACAAGGATTTTCTTTCATGTTATATTCGGGGAAAAAAAAAATTACAAAACAAAATTAAAAGTGGATCCTAAATTACCATTCAAACTAAGTGAAATATGACCAGACATAAAGAAATCGATCTCTCTTAAACAGGCCCAAATTTCACAATAAATTTTAGAATTAAAGTATTATAACTTAAAGTTTTAATAATTAAAATGGAAACCAATTTCTAGTCTAATATTTTGTGTGTGTGCGTATTTAATACAAATAGCCAACAGGTTGTGCAAATGGCAAAATATATTTTTAAAAATTTTTGTATTGAGAAATTGAAAAATTGTCATTGTAAAATGTAGTGATGGTTCTAAAGTTTTTCAGTTTTTATTTAAATAGTTCGCGTTAGTCAAAAGGTTGGGAACCGTTGGGTTAGGCCAGGGGTCGGCAACCTTTTGAGTCGGAAGAGTCAAAAATTACAATTTACAAAATTTCAAAGTTATTAAAGAGTCACCAAATTTTTTCTTGCCAACAATAAATAGTACTCGCATAATTTTTTTTTTTTTGATAAACAAAAACTAATCTATTCATTCATAAGAAAAAAATTTATATTTATTCATAAGAAAAATATATATTTATTCATATATAAATAGTGTTTTTTCACAACAAATTAGATAATAACAACAAATAAATAATAAGTAATTATCTAATATGTGGCATTATTAGATAATTACTTATTATTTAAGTAAAAAATTAAAACAATTAAACATTTACTTACAACACTAACTTGTACTTCAATAAAAAAACAATTGAACAAACAAATTCAATGGGAGACGATGGCTTTGCATGGTTTTAGAAAGTTTGGATAAATTTGGCTTATAACTGGTTGTTTTAAGTTTCAAACACGACTGTAAATTTTTATTTGTTAGTTAGCTTCTTACTGTACTTTTAATTATATTCATGCAAGAGAACGCTTGCTCGCAAAAATATGTCGATCCGAAGATAGCACTCCAAATGCCAACTTCTTCACCTCACGGTAGCAATCTGGAAGACTATTCCATGTGTTAAATATAAGTGCCTCAACTCGCTGCATTTCGTTTAAAGCTGATCACTTTTGTTGCACTATGTACATTCATTTCTGGACCTCCAACTCTTCCAATTTGCTTTTCCAACTCTGTAAATTTTCCACTCCACAAAGCTTTGCTTTTTAAATCGATCAATTGCATTTCTAGAGATTCAGTATCAATTCCAAATGGCTCAATGTGGATTTCGTTACTATTTGTGTTTAGAGGATTTACTATAAATGCTAGAGTGGCTTTATTGGTTTTGAGTTGCTCAAATCTGTCTACAAATTCATCTTTAACTTTTTGTAACTGTGCTGAAGTAATTCGTGTCAACAGTTGCAGTGGTTTTATCGCGATAGTACTTTAGAAATTGAAAATGAAGTAATTTACCGCTCTGAATATCTTTTGCAAAAAGAATTTTTTTTTTCAAAACAAACCTATTCTTCTTCTAAAACATAGGCTGGGTTTCCCTTTCTTTGCAATTTTCGATTCAGCTCATTTAATTTCGCTGTGACATCCACCATAAAGTAAAAGTTTTGCAACCGTTTGTCGTTCTCTAATTCAGGGTGATTAATGCCTTTTTCATTTAGGAATGTATTTATTTCATTCAAGCACAAAGCAGAACGTTTCAACACCTTTCATTTGGAAAGCCATCGCACTTTATTGTGAAGAAGGAGGTCGGAATACTAAGTCTCCATTTCGTTTAAGAATTCTTTAAACTGACGATGGTACAGTGCTTTTGACAAGATACTGTTAACAATCTTGATTACCAAATTCATGACCTCAACTATTTCGGGAGGAAATGTTTGGGTACAAAGCGCTTCTTGGTGTATTATGCAGTGAAACGTAACAATTTCGTGGTTTATTTTGCTCTGAAGAATCGTTGTTGCCCATTTATTTTTTCCTGTCATACTTCTGACTCCATCAGTTGCTATTGAAACGATTTTATTTAAATCGATCTTATTGTCTTCTAGGCATTTTTGCACGGCATTCGCTATATCTTCCGCTCTATTTTGTCCCGAGAGCGGTAGCAATCTTATAAGTTCTTTTGGATCTTGGGAAGACATATACCTGACAAAAAGGGCAACTTGTGCCGTGTCTTTTATGTCGCAAGACTCATCTGCAAGTGATAAGGCAGAAGAAAGCTGAATATCTTCCACCTGCAAATATGTTACATTTGAAGACATTTTAGCTATTCTATCTTGTACTGTTTTAGCGGATAGTGGCAAATCTTTGATTTTTTTCAAGACTTCTGGTTTGTTTTTGAAATCACAAAACAGTTCTTTAGATGCACGTATGACGCAATCTTTCGCATACTCACCATCTGTGAATGGTTTGCCTTTTTTTTTTTTTTTTTTTTCAATTTCTAATGATACCGCGAAGCTTGCCAGATTAATGTTACTTGTAGATTGCGTCCAGTTACTTAACATGGAACTTGACTGCTGTTTTTGTTTTTGGAGCTCGTTGACAGCTTTCTTTCGTTCTTCGCCAGCTGGATATTTACTAGCAAACTGAGCACGTTTTTTTAGTGAAGTGCCTCTATAAATTTGATTTCTTATCGTGTGCGAGTTTTTGTAATTAACATATAATTTCTTATTGTGTGCGAGCTTTTCCATTTGAGTTGCATATGAAAGCGAACGACTGCGTCCAATCCCGATTGAATTCTCGATGCTCTTCTTCAGTTCTTATCTTTTTTTTGGGGGGGGAATAAAATAAAATAATATTTGCGTATGGAACTAAAGAGCCGCAGCTTCACATCCAAAGAGCCGCAGGTTGCCAACCCTGAGTTAAGCCATATGTAACATGTAGAAATAGAAAGTTCGCTTAAGGTTTGGGTAACAGCGATGCAGCGATTATATAAATTTGGCAAAAAGGTTGATGAACAGGAGATTATAGTATCTTGAGGACCACATTTAACTTTGGGCCTCATCAGAGCGAGAAAGTATGTTGATTGCCAGAGTTCGTGCAGCAGCTTATTTGTCTGATTAACGATACGAAGCGGTATCGTTAATCATTGCACTTGACGAAAAGTGAGTCCCAAGACCATTTAATAGGAGAACTAGAGAGTGGGTTTAATGGCAAAACGACTCACACAACCTGAAAAATTTTGTAATTAACATTTAATTAAAGAATAGCATATTATTGGAATGCTTATCTAGGTATATTTAACATTTACCAAACATGTGCTCAATTCATTCTTTCCTAGATGATTAATAGAATTTAACTATCCTGTCTATCAATACTTCTAAATAATCAGTACGCTTCATGAAACTGCTGGCAATGTGTTTTTAACTGTGACTACGTTACCTTAGTATCTCTATTTAAATCGCATTTAAGCAATAAATAATATATTTATTGGGTGTATACGCATAACTCCGTCCTTTTTTAATGTATCTTATGAGTAGCACTGTTGCATACAGCTGAAGCTTGGAACACATGTAACTGAAATGTTTAACAGCTACTTTTATTAAATACAGTAAGACCCCGCTTAACGCTGTTCCGTTTTAGCGCTGTTTCGGCTTAGCCCTCTTTGATTCCTAGAAATTGCTCGTAGCACTGCGGGGATTCCCCGAAATTGTGCGCAGCGCTAGGTTTCCAAATAACATATCCGAAACAGTGTAGTTGTGTTTTTTGTTTGGTGCGGTGCTGTACGGACGTATTTTTATCATTTGAAACATTTGTTGACATTATTGTAAGTATAAATTTATATAATACTATAACGATTAATGCAGTGACAAATATTATGATCTTTTGTTTTTATCATGGGTGATAATAAAAAAAAAAAAAAAAAAAAAAAAAAAAAAAAGCATTTCACTGGAAACTAAAATGCAAGTGATTAGAAGATTAGATTCTGGTGAACGTCAATCTCAAATTAGTGCTGCATTGAATTTGGCAACTTCAACAATAAGGACAA